CTCAACAGGAGGAATATCCAAACATTGTCAAAACATATTCCGGATGTCATAAGAAGCGTGGGGGGTGGATCGCGTGGGCCAGTTTTCGATCATTTCTCAGTTTTCGATGTTCGCTTCTTCGGGACGGTGTCTCAAAAGCAGTCTGGGGGCGATCTCCACCCTTTCTCAAGACTGACTTCTGCATCTTGCTGATGCCTCCTTGGGCATCCTCCAGATACAGCCTGCCCGTGGAGGGGCATGCCCGACCTGGCACTGGGGCCCTCTGCCGGGCCTCGGCCGGCGGCGGCGGCCGCCCGGGCGGGGCGAGGCTCCGGAGACGAGGGGCGTCAGTGCACTCAAGAGGGACAAAAAACACACAGACATCATTAATCCTCGATTCCTCAGAAAATATTTGGGAAACTATGGGAAGTGTGGGGGGGAAGAATGAGAAACCCAGAAGATATGGCAACATATGGGGCATCTCTTTATTTGTGTGCATTTGTTTGTGTGTCCTGGGGCCTCTTCAGGCTCCCGGAGGACGAGGAGGTGTAGGAGGAGGAGGAGGAGGAGGAGGAGGAGGAGGAGGAGGAGGAGGAGGGGGTCCGTCAGGGCGTGGAGAGCGTGCACCCCACAGCGTGCCGCCGGCGGGCGCTCTGCGGGGGCTCGCCGCCGGTCTGCCCGCAAGGGTGCATCGACGATTTGCCAGATCGGCGCTTCTTCCCCCCCCCCGCCTGTGGCTGCACAGTGTTCCCCCCTCCTCCTCCTCCTCCTCCTCCTCCTCCTCCTCCTCCTCCTCCTCTTCCTCCACCTCCCTCCTCCTCCTCTCTTCCTCCTCCTCCTCCTCCTCCTCCTCCTCCTCCTCCTCCTCCTCCTCTCTTCCTCCTCCTCCTCCTCCTCCTCCTCCTGTTCCTCCTCCTCTCCTGAGCCGCCCCTCCCCTCTTGCGCGGGGGTCCGTCAGGTCGGGCGTGTCCCTCTACAGGCGGATTCTGGACGACAAGTAAACAGTACCCAAACATATGCAAACCATATCCGAAGATGATAGAGAATCGTCCCCACATTATGTTTTGACCGTTTGTGAAAAGTCCCCCTGTAGAGGGACAGGCCCGACTTAAAGCTTGCAGGCCCCTGCAGAGCCTGGGGTGCATTGACCCAGGCTTGCGTGCAGGATTCTGCAGGATCTTGCTTTGGCATCGTTCGGGCGCGTGCATTTTTTCTCGACGAGGACGATCGAAGAGAGTCTCGGCGCATCCTGCGAACAAGTAAGCGCACGACATCGGACAGTGCACCAGGAAGCGGACGTCCCAGCGATGGTGAGCTGCAGGATCCTGCAGATCCCGACCGACCCGGGCTTGGATGGGGAATCCGGGGGATGTGCCAGGTGTGTGTGTGTGTGAGTGAGAGAGAGAGAGAGAGAGAGAGAGAGAGAGAGAGAGAGAGATCGGTTCTTGCACCGAACCGCCCCAAGCAGATGCCCGCCCGCCGCAGGCAGCTCCCGAATAGCTGCGGGCAGGCGGGGCACGCGCGGGGCACCCGCTCGCGGCAGCTCGGTGCACCAGCGGATCGAACTCATGGCCCCCCTCGGGGTCCCCCCCCCTCTGGTGGATCCCGATTCGATTGCCCCGAATCGGTCCCCAGACCCCGACGTCACGATTTTTTCGTGGCGGCGACCCCCAGAGGTCTGGACCCATTCCGACCGGCTCTTCTCACCCTGCGTCGTTTTGTTGACGCTCCCGAGGCCCGGGGTAAGGGCCCCCCCCCCCAGAGGCCGAACATAGCGACAACAAAAACACCTCAGGTCCCAGTTTTTTTCAGGAGGGGAAAAACACACAGACACGATGAATCGGCGATTTCCAGAGAATATGGGAAAATATGGGAAGTGGGGGGGAAGACAGAAACCCCGAAAATATGGGAAAAGATTGGGAATCTTTTTTATGTGTGTGTATTTCTTTGTGTGTCCCAGGGCCCCTTCATTTTTGCGCGACTCGAGGGATTCTTTGGGTATTTGGCGGATCCCGAGCGGGCTGCCCGGGGGTCGGCTTGGAGAGCCCTGCGCGGGGGCGACCTCGGCTTCCTGGATGGGGTCGGAGCAGGGGGAGTCGGAGGATCGCGCCGCGTCGCCGACGCATCGCCGAGGCGACTCGATGCGGAGCCCGACGTGCTTCGCGTCGACGTCGCCGATGCATCGCCCACGTCGACGATGCATTGCCATGATGCATCGCCGAAGTAGCCATTGGCGATGCGGCGCGATCCTCCGACCCTATCTGGGAGGCGTCTGGGCGAGCCGGGCTGGGCTGGCGAAGGCTCTCCCCGCCGCGGACGCGTGCCTCGCTGCGGCGGGGGCGGGCGCCTCGCGGGCACCAGCCGGGGAGGGAGCCCCCTGCAGGCGCCGCGACAGGGGGGTCTCCGAGGCTCTCCGGCGGGCGGGCAGCAGCGGTCGGAGCCCCGCATCGTCAGTCAGAGGAGGAACAGGCACCCACACCGCTATAGCCTCCCCTGAGATCCTGGCGACTCAATGTTTTCCAAGCCCGGCGTTTGTGCTCCGGTTCGGGCTCTGGGACCCTCACAGATCGGTCGGGATCGAAAAGTGACGCAGAAAGATACGGTCCGGGGGTCCAGTTGTGATTTTTTACGATGCTGTGAGCTTTCTGCAACGTCGGATCTCAGGGTCCGCCCGCTTTCCTTTAGGGGGCCTCCTCGGAGGCCCTCGTCGCCACCGCTGGAGTCGCCTCGAAATTCGGGTCAGGACGCACCCCGGGAGAGGTCGGGGGAGCAGCGGTATCGGTGCCTCTTGACTTCCCCAGTCAGGGGCTGGGGGCGGCCATGGGGTACAGACGGGGCGCTGAAGAAGGAACCCTTTTCGTTGGGGAGGGGCTCGGTGTTCCTTGATTGCTCTACAGCTTGCCTTAGGTTTTCATGAGGTTTTCCATGGGAGGTCGAAGTGTAACTCATGGGAAAAAGGGGCCTCGTTCCTTATTTAGGGTTCCTTAGGTCAACGCCCCGGCTGTGCCCTGGGATCCCGGCGCCTCGATTTCTTTGGAGCCGGGCGTCTGCGCTCCACCTCGGGCCGCAGGGCCCTCACGGAGCGATCCGGCTGGACAACGGACATCCAGAAATAGATGGGGTCCGGGGGTCGGGGCGTGATTTTTCGCGACGTTGCCTTGTTTTCGCAATGTCGGATCTTAGGGTAATCGGCTGCAGATTCGATGATCGGGGGCCCTAGCCGGAGTTATCCCGGACCGCGGCTATCCCAGATGATTCGGGCGTCGGACCCTTCCAAATCGTCAGGATTGGGGGGGCGGTCAGGGGGGTAGCTGCAGAGTCCCGCTTCGGGGGCCCGTAGCGGAGTTGCCCTGGACCGCAGTTATTCCGGGGAATTCGGGCGTCCGAAACGGTGGGGCGGGTTGCAGATATTTCGTAGGTTGATAGACCTCCTACCTTGACACACGTCGATTAACGCATTGGCCGTTTTCAGTTCGCGAGAGGGCGCCGCGGCCATCATTTTTACGGGTCCAGGTCAGTCGGTTTCGGTCGTAGGCCGCTTTCATTAAATGGCGGTTTAAATTAAAGGGAGGCTTGTCCACCGCCGAAAATATCCGACGCTCCGAACAGAAGTCGGGCCGGCGGGTTTTTGGCGGTGTCTCTTCGTGCGGTGAGTGCCCTCCCCCCCTATTCGCCCTCGCTCCGCGGCCGCTCCCGTGCTGCCGGACAAGTAGCGTGCTGCGCCCCAGCTGCCGGAGCGCGCGAGCGGACGCTGCCGCTGCCGCGCCGCGGCGCTTTTGGCCGCCTGCGGCCTCCAGAATCACAAAGTCAAAACAGATGCCCAATCCCAAAAACGCGAGGGCCAAGACAAAATGCAGGCTCCTCGAGACTTCGGGGAGGGAGATTTTGGGGTAGGGTTTTTCCAGGGCGACGACGACGAACGCAAGGCATACCCCGAAATCTTTGGCCGATCTTCGAATCCTCGGTGAATCCGCGATTTTGGGATTGGGGATGTGTTTTTTCGTGGTCACAGAAGGCCCTCGATGGATGCGTCTCGGGGCCGTCGAGAGACGACGCAGGACGGAACGCCGCCCCTGGCGAAGTGGTCCAGGCCGCCAGGGCCCACGCGTCGAGCAGACTGGAGCGGCCAGAGCTTCGGGGCCCTGAAACAGCCTCTCGCATCGGCGCCACCCCAGCGTCCTGATGTTCTGGGTGAGTCGCCCCCCCAGGGGCGTCGCGCGCGCCAGGATATCTTGAGTATAAGCTCCGTGGCGAGCCAAACCGCTCGGGAAGCGATGTACTACAATATACTTGTACTCTATGTTCGGATCGGACGCACGCCTCCAAGGAGAGCACATTGTACTAGTATGTCCACGTGCGTCAAACAACATGCTGTTGAATAAAACAACTTGAAACAAGCGTGGAGGACTATTGAACACGCGTTCCTGGAAAAGCGTGGCCGGGAAGCGCTAACCCAATATCTCGACCTCAAACATTTATCAATGTCAAGGCCAGGGGTTGGCGGAGGGAATGTGCTTCTGTATAGTGCGGGCTTTGTTGCGGATTGTTTCTGACCGCACCACCGCGGCCCCAAAATGTACACATAAGGTTAATGTAGGCGACTGATGAAAGAATGAACAACTGCGGGAACGACAAGGAACGACCGCGAGTAGAATTCCAGGGAGAATTTGTTTGCATACTTGCGTCGTCGTCCTCGTCTTAGTCTCGTCTCTTCCATCGTCGTCGTCGTCGTCGTCGTCGTCCACGACAGCCCCGCGCAGCCTACCCCACATCCCCTCCATCTCCCCATGGGGCATCCGAATCGCGTCGTCGTATGTTGTCCGTCGTCGCCCCGTCGACATCGTCGTCGACTACAGCGGGCCTACGCAGCACTCCCTCCACAAGGGGTATCCGTCGTCTGTGTCGTCGTGGTCGTCGTCGTCGTCGCCTTTGCCTGACGGAAGGGAAACGGGGCGGAAGAACGCGTGGACGAGGAGGAGGAGGGAGTGGGAGGACAGGAGGAGGGCGAGAAGGAGGGCAACATGACGGAGGCGCAGGTCTGCGCCGAACGCAGGCCTGCGCGCCGCGCAGGGGAGGCACGGCATCCCCTGCGGGGGGCGGTCTATCTGTTGCCAGGCCGCCGCGGCTCAAGAGCTTGGCTTTCAGTCGTGGGCGGCATGCTGCTTTCATTGCCACCTGCCCATCTCCCCCGTCAACCTCGCCCCGTGAGTGAGCACCCGACGAGGCGGGGACTCGTCAAATCCATCACTGCCTGGGGGGAAGCGATCTTCGGGGGCCTCGGCAGGCGGTGGATGCGGACAGGTTCGGGCCACGGGGTGGCCACACGCGTCCACATCCATCGCCCGCCGAGGTCCACGAAGCTCGATCCTCCGGGCGGCGGTCATTGATCAGGAGGGGAAAAAGCACACAGACACAATTGATCGCCGATTCTCAGGCAAATATGCAAGAATATGGGAAGTGGGGGGAAGACAAAACCTACAAATGTAAGAAAATATGGGGAATCTTTTTATTTGTGTGTATTTATTTGTGTGTCCTGGGGCCCCTTCAATGGATGAATCCCCACTGTGCAGGACTGGCGCCCGCGGGTCCTGGGCCGGGGCGGCGTCCTCAGCCGGGGGGAGATCTCGGGTGGAGTCTGCCCGCGCCGCGGGGACGTACAATGAGCGGCTTGAATAAGGAACACTTGCTTTTCAAAAGGGGCTCGGTCGTTCCTTAGGCTTGCATGCGTTATGTATCGTTCCCTATGCGTTGTGTATTGTTTGTTCATCGTTCCCTATGCGTTACTCCTTGGAAGAAAGGGGCTTCGTTCCTTATTTATCGTTCCTTAGGTCAGGCCGATGACTGTACACTGGTTGCTCTTCGCGCTGGCGCGGTGGCCGGCCTCGCACCGCAGGTCTGGAAGTGTGTTTGTTCAGAGAGGAGTGGCTGCTGGACGCGGAGTGGCGAGTGGGCGCAGGAGCCGAGGTCTGGGGCTCGAGGCCTCGAGGGTCTGGCTTCTGCTGACGTTGTGTTGCTTCTTTGGGCTTCCCATGGCGCCCTGAGTGCACCGCCTCTCGAGGCGTTGGGCGCCACCGCGCGGCGCCACGACCGCCCAGCGCGCGCGTCGCAAGCAAAAAGAAACAACCGAACGCTTCCCAGGGCGCCCTCGTTTGCGGGTCGCTTGGGGGTCTTGCCGCAGCATTCGGAGAGGGAGGGTCACTGCCACCACCGTTAGCTGGAGAGGGGCAGCCGTGGGGCTGGGGGGCAGCGGTGGTGCTCACCTTTCCTGGCACGTTCGCTGGGCACTCTGCGCATCGATGTCCAGGTAATCGGAGCCGCCTACGGCGAATCACCGCTGCCCCCGGCCCTGTGGAAGCGCACGCGTGGCCGAGGGTTGTGGCCAGCGCTCTGCCAGGCTATCGGGCCATGTGTTCCCCCAGCCGTTGTGGAAGCCCTTCGGCGAACACTTGGGGGAGGATGGCGGTTCCTGGCCCGTTCGCTGGGCACCCTGCTCATCGTTGCCCATGTAATCTGGTGGCCTTCGGCCCATCCCGCGTGCCTGGGTGGGGGCTTCTTGGGGGCCGTTTTGAAGCGTCTGGGGGGGCGTTCGGGGGCCTCTTCGGGGCGTCTTCGGAGCCTCTTGGGGGTCTTTGGGGGCCTCTTGGGGCCTGTTGGAGCTTCGTTGGGGCCTCCTGGGGGCCCCATGGGGCGGATAACTCGGATTTTCGGTTCGCGTTCCCTCTGTTGGGCCCTTTTGGGGGCTGTCTTCGGGCCCTCTTGGGCCGTCTTGGGCGCCTCTGGATCCTTCTTGGGGCCCTCTTGGGCCGTGTTGTAGCCTTTTTGGGGCGGTCCTGGGAGCCTGTTAGGCCGTCTAGGAGCGTCGGGAGTTCAAATAGTCGAGGGTTCAAAGACCATTGAAACACGTATGAAACATACATGATTCGAACCTCTGGGTGCCCTCCTGGGAAGGCTCTTGGGGCTCTCTTTGGGCGTCTCGGATGCCTCTTTGGCTGTCTCGGGGCCATCTTGGGCGTCGTGGTGCGCTCGTGGGGCGTCTCGGAGCCCTCTTGGGCTCAAAAAACAAGTAACGCGTCGAGCCGCTGGGAATCCACTTTCTGCACCCACCCCTCGGGATTGAGGACCGAAGCTCGGGGGATGCAGGACTGAGGCTCGGGGGATGGAGCAGGGGACCCGTGGACACTCCAACTCGTGCGCGGCCTCGAGGCACGGCGACGGCCAAGCAGTTCGTGTGCTCCGGGGGTCCGGGCACTCCAGATTTCGTAATAAAAGGGAGGGGGTCTGGACCCTCCGAGACAAGCCATTTCAGACCTCCCCCGTGGGAGAACCCTCCAAAACATCGTCCCCAGACCCACCAGGCCCTCCAAGATAGCCTGGAAGAGACCCCCCCCCGAAATGAGACCCCCCTCCCTTCATTACGAAATCTGGAGTAGTGATGGGGCGTTGCATAGTGCCTGCCGCCGGCCGCAAAGTCGGCCTCTCAGGATCGCGGAGAACGCCGAGATGTTCAGCGCCACGCCGGAGGGCTTCGCCTATGCCCGGTCGGCGTCGGTGTCTCGAGCCAGTTGTCTCTTGGGGGCCCGTTGTGGGGCACAGCCGCAGGGCGCGGCGTCGGGTGCCGACCTCCCCCGCGCAAGGGGGGTGGGGGGCGCGTGATGGGTCGAGCCCGCTGGCTTCCGAACAGGAGCTTCGGAGAGCCTCCGAAAGGGCTTTCCCAGACCCTTCTCCGGGGGCGCTCCAGCACGGCAGTGGCAGGGAGAAGGTGAAGGTGGGGGAGGAGGACGTCGACGACAAGGACGGAGAGATGAAAAGGAAGAGTCGTGCCGTGGGACGTCCTGGAAGACTCGATCGGTTGAACAAGCTCATTGGAAATGACCAAGATGTCTCATGGGGTTTTCGACGCCGATCTTGGTCATTGTTCATGCCGGCCGTCGCCGAGTTGGGAGGATGATCCACGAATTGACGCTCACCAAGACGGACGGAGCACAAGATCGACACGAGGTTTCCGCGTTCGGTCTTGGTCATTATCCCCGTTCTCTTCCCCTCCTCTGGATCCCTTGAAAGAAATCCTTACCCGTCGTAGCGCACGGCGGGGCGCCACGCTTCAAAAGAGCAAGATTCAAGCTTGAGACTTAAGCTTCACCTGAGGTGCTCGAGCTTGAGCTTCGAATTCCATGTGAGAGCCAAGCGTGGTTCGGAGAGGTTCAGGGAAGGTTGAAGCGCACACGTCGGCGACCACCAAGCGAAAACATTTGTTCATTGCATCGCAGTTGTTCTGCACTGCGATGTTTCTGCGTTGCAGTTTTTGTCGCCGTAGTCGCGCTGCTCGAACTTGAGCTTGAGATGCCGCGTGGGAGCCAAGCGTGGTTTGGGGAGGTTCCGGGAGGGTCGAAGCGCGCTCATCGGCGGCCACCACACGAGAACAGTTTTTGTTTGCACTGCCGTTTTTTCTGTGCACCTGCAGCTCTTGTCCGGATTGCAGTTCTCTTGCGCTGTGGCGGCGCTGCTGGAGCTTGGGCTCAGGATTCCGCGCGGGAGCCGAGCGTGGCTCGGGGGATGCTCCGGGAGGGCCGGAGCGCACACGTCGGCGACGGCCGCACGACAATAGCTGCTTGATGCACTGCATGCTGTTTCCATTTTGTGATCGTTCTCTTGCTCCCTGTTTTGCCGAGTGGCGCGACGCCCTGGCCCCCCCCCATTCCGCCCAGTGTCGAAACGCCGGATAAAAAATTTGACGTATTGTATGTTGTTTCCATTGTGATCGTTCTCTTGTTCCTTGTTTTGCCGATTGACGCGACGCGGGCCCCGGCCCCCCTTCTCCCCCCCCTGGAGTGGATCTTGGGTGTTTCTGTTGGCGCCTGTTTCGAGCAGGCGGAGAGTCTCCCCCGTGGGAAACTGCTGCAAGCAGTCGCACTAAGCAGAGGTCCAGAGCCAGACCCCCTCCCCTCCCCCCCCTTTCCGCCCAATGTCGAAACGCCGAATCAAAAAACGTTCACATTCCAGTTTTTGCTGCATTGCAGTTTTGTTGCGCTGTAGTGGCTGGCGCTGCACGGGAGCCTCGGACTCCGCGTGCGAGCCCATTGCGGTTTAGGGAGGTCCGGGGAGGGCTGAAGCGCCCACATCGTCGACGACCACACGGCACAGCTGGTGTCGTATTGCAGTGATGCGTGCATTGCAGTTCTTGCTTGCACTGCAGCGTTTCAGCGTTGCAGATTTTTCTACGCCGTCGTGGCGCTGCGCGTGGGAGCCAAGCGTGGTTTAGGGAGGTTCGGGGAGGGTTGAAGCGCACAAGTCGGCGGCGACGACGATCTGAAAACAGCCCTGTTCGTGTTGCAGTTGTTTCGCAATGCACTTTTGCTGCATTGCAGTTTATTTTTGCGCTGTGGTGGCGCTGCTGGGGCTTGAGCTTAGGAGTCCGCGTGGGAGCCAAGCGTGGTTTGGGGCGGTTCACGGAGGATAGAAGTGCACATGTCGGCGACGAAGACGCGAAGCTATGTTTTTTGCATTGTTGTTTGTTTTTGTATGGTTATTTGTTTTGCAGTGCTGATTTGTTTCGCTGCAGTGGCGCCTAACTGGCTGGTCTGGCTGGCTGGTCTGACTGCTCTGGCTGGCTGGTCTGGCTGGTCTGACTGGCTGCTCTGGCTAGTCTGCTTGGTCCGGTCAGGTTGATCTGCGTAGTCTGGTCCTGGCTTGTTTGTTTGGTCCGGGCAGGTTGACCTGAGTCTGGTCCGGATTTCTCTGGTCTGAATGGCTAGTTGGTTTGGTTGGTCTGGTTGGTCTACATGCCTGATCTAGTTAGTTTACCTGGCTGTTCTGACTGGCTGGTCGGGCCAGTCTGCTGGGTGGTCTGGGTGGCAGGTCTGGTCTGTCTAGTCGATGTACTTGCGGCCCATCCACTGTAAAACAATGTTTGGTGCATCGCAGTTCTGGTCTGCTTGGTCAGGTACAGACCGCCCCGAGGCCGCGGACATTTCCCACGAGCCGGGCCTGGGGCTCAAAGTGGGACCGAACGCGCTGCTCGAGTCAAGTCCTGCTGCGGCGGAAAGGGAGGTCATGGGGGGGGAGGGAACACTGGCAGCCATGTCAGCTTTTGTGCTTCAAGGCATGGTAAGGCGCCGGGGGGCATCAGAACTGTTCGCCTCGAGCGGAGTAGAACAAGTCGGCTACACCTCGATGTTTCGGTGCTCGCGGTAGGAGTTTTTGGGACGCTGTCGTCGGCCCCTGGAGGTTTCTCTTGCCTCGGGATGCGCTCCAGCAGCTGCGCCTCGCAGAGGGCGCTGCGGGGGGGGGGGGCCCTCTCGTCCCGAAGGTCCGCCAGAGGCCCGAGTGATGACCTGGAGGCGGCGTGACTCCTCGCCGGGGTGTCCGCCCCTCGGAGGTCGAGCGCGCACGAACGACATGGGTCTGGACCCTCCAAGACAAGCCATTTCAGACCTCCCCCGTGGGAGAACCCTCCAAAACATCGTCCCCAGACCCCCCAGGCCCTCCAAGATCGCCTGGAAGAGACCCCCCCCGAAATGAGACCCCCCTCCCTTTATTACGAAATCTGGAGTAGGAGCTCGAGGTTCGAGGTTTTCGGACGTTTTCTCAGGTTCTCGGCTGCTGTGCGGCCTGAGGATGCTCTCCAGTGGCTGCGCATCGGCGAGGGCGTTCCCGGGGTGCGTGCGTGTCGTTCCGGGCGGCCGCTGGAGAGCCGAGCTAGGGCCCGAGAGCCAGACGCAGGACGCAGAAGCTCGAGGCGGGAAGAGCCACAGCGGCTGCACCAGTCCGTTTGCCAATTCATTTTGGCCGAGTGCATGCCGTCAGAGCCCCGAATCATCAGGGGTAACTCGGGTCAGGGATAACTCGGGTTCGTTTTTCGGGAATCCGAACCCGAGTTACCCCGGACCCGAGTTACCCCGGATAGCTCGGGCGCCCAGAGCCCCACATCATCAGGGGTAACTCGGGTCAGGGCTAACTCGGGTTCTTTTTTCGGGAATCCAAACCCGAGTTACCCCGGACCCGAGTTACCCCATATAACTCGGGCGCCCAATACCGACGAGGTTCGATTGCCCCATCGTGGGTTCGCGGAACTTACTGAGAGCGAGATGAACGCCATCGACGCCTTGCACAAGGGAATCAGGCGCCGATCTGCTGCCATGAGTGCCGAAGAGAATTTGGGAGAGGTGGTCACGGGCAAATGGACGAATCAGCGATCAGTCCCCTACCGCCAGGCTTGCTACATGGCCAGTCGTGCCGTGCACGGGCACATGTGTCCGCTGTCTTTGAGATAAGTGAGGGGCGAGTGACCAGCACCATATCGAGAGATCGGTGCGACATAGATATTACGTGTGCGTATACATACATAATTATGCATATCAGGTTGAGGGGGCCGAACGGTTACTCATTGTCCTTGGGCGCGTGGCAGAAGTTGCGTTCCGTCTGGCGGATTATGTTTGTTGTTGTGGTTGTTTTTGTTTGAATTTCCCGTTCTAAATAATGATTATCGTTGATCCCCCCTCCGATGACCATTGCATCTTTCAATTGAAATGCTCCTCCCGGGTGTCGCATCTTTTTTTTTTCAAGGGAAAGCGGTGGTCTCCAAACGGGGCCGCTGGCCCCCGAGTTTCAACAACAACGGCCCGGGCCTGATACATCCTCACAATTTACTGAGACATCGCGGTTTCGCGCGGGATCTCCTCACAAGTTTTGCAGGTATCGCGCTCTCGCGTAGGATTTCTTTTGCATGTATTCACTTACCGCGCCATCCACACTCAGGAATCACGCTCTCGTTTTGGCTTCTCGCGCGATTTACTTGGGAATCGCGCTATCGCTCGAGACGTCTTCGCGATTCATGCAGGACGCACGTTTCAGCAACCCGCCTGCTCGACCTGGCCGCCTGGACCCGCCTTTCCGGCCCGCCCGCTAGGATCTACCAGCCCAGTCTGCCCGCCTGGTTTTGCCACGTCCTTTTTGTTCCTTGCCACCCTCCTGCTACCGTCCCCCATCGCATTTTTCAATTCAAATGCTTCCCCCAGGACTCGTACAAGGGAAAGCGAGGGGTCACCACACCGCGTTGTTGACCCCCAGATGAGAACAACGATGCCCGCCTGATTTTTATTCACAATGTATTCCCAAATCGCGCTCGCGCGCTGAACTTCTTCACAATGTATGCAGGAATCGCGCTTTCGCGTGGGACGTCCTTGCAATTTATGCAGATGCCCCCTCGACACTCGGGAATTACGCTCTCGCGGTAGATTTTCCCGATGATTCATTTGGGAGTCGCGTCATCGCTCGAGACGTCTTCGCGATTCATGCATGACGCACGCTTCAGCAACCCGCCTGCTCGACCTGGCCGCCTGGGTCCGGCTTCCCGACTCGCCTGGTAAAGTCTACCCGCCTTGTTTGCCCGTTTGGTTTTGCCGCGTGTTTTTTGTTCCTGGCCACCCTCCTGCTACTCTCCCTCTCGTGCTCCATCCTTCTCCCTCCCCCTTGTTCCTTCCTTCCATCCGTCCGCTTTTCCCTGCCTAAAGGCTGCGCGAAATACACGTTGCAGGTAGGG